CTAACACGAATATATCTAGTAACACGCTCCAATAGTCCAACCATCACATCAGCACTAGTGTATCCAAAATACACTTTGATAGCTAGACCATTACATCAGCACGTGCGTGTAATATATATTCTGATAACTCAACCATCACCTCAGCGTGTAGGTATCTCACAAGTGTGCACCTGATATCTTTACCATCACATCAGCACGAGCGCACCTTAAAGTCCACCCTGATGGTAAAGCCATCACTTCAGCCCTGGTGCACCTATCCCTTCGCGTGTGACCCTCTGGTCAATCGACTATACGCTGTACGCATCACTCATTGGCTTGGCTAGATGGCATTTAATCAATCTATTCGTGCCAAGCACCGCACTGCGTTGCATTTTCTCGATCAGCTGAGTAGTGTCATCGTGGAGTTGCAAGGTCTGTACGTACCGCCTAAGGTTCGGTGTAACTTCACCGCACGCTCCTATGACGATTGGAACAACATCTACCCGGCACTTTCTGTCCTTTTGAAGGACTGCTTTGGAGATTGGGCCCTGGATGAAAACCATCCGCACCAGTCTCTTCAGGTAGAGTACTGTTCACTCCGTACTTTCCAAGCTTCCGCTTTTCTTGCGTGAGGACGCGAGTATACCATGAGATAGAAATCTCAACGATCCATATTCGCGCAGCACGTTTGTCCCAAACCAATAGGTCAGGACGGTTGTGCGCTAGCCCCTCACTTGTCACTACTGTATCATTCCATTGAATTACCACCTCCGGAGCCTCCACAGTATGTGGACGATGGGTATTCACTACCACGGTAATTCCATACTTTTTGCGGATCGAGCTGTATAGGACCCTAGCTACGTCATCATGTCTTTCGACCATGATGTTAGTTCGCCAGTGAGCACAAGCCGAAACTATATGCTCGGCGGTTTCTTCGTAGGGTCCACAACGCATGCGGCAGAGGCCCCCTGGTGTGGGCCTCAGTGCACGCATAGCGGCACTACTTCCGGTTAAGAGCGATGCTTCCTGTGCGCCCCAGACATTCCTCAGGACTTCAGAAGACACCCAACCATTCGCGGACCAAAGGAACGAATCCTTCAGGCATAGTCCGGTCGGGTTTCCATCTCGCCCGCGTACCTGCAGCACTCGCGACGCTACCTCTCTTTTCTGCCATTCTTCCCAGTGAACCAAAGCCCACCGTTCGCGAATCAGTTTAGAGATAGCCCTTGCCGCTTCGGTAGCGGTGTAGAAAGTCTGGTCGTCTACTACTATGGTTGCCATGATGGTGCGAGACACACGTCCCTCCAACCCATTAGCGGCCATGACAGCCTTGAAATCAGAGGTAAGTGATCTTTTGGAACTCGCACGCAGACGCTCTGATAGCTCATAGGAGACTAGTAGATCCGTGCTCGAGGCTAAGTAACTCCAAGTGTACACTACACTTTGGTGGAGTTCCTCTTCGACGTTCTTTAGCCCTAGTCCCCCGAGATCTCTCTTGACATATAGCCGTGCTACGCAGCTGTGTCCGAATCTCGTATGAGATTCTTCCAACAGTCTACGCATTTCAATATCGAACATCCGGGCACGCTTGCTGAGGGTTTGGAATTTACCGACTCCGAAGATGATACAAGAGAAAGCGTACTTGAGCTTTGGAACTACGATTTGATTGTACCCGTTTACCTTTTGGCGAACCGTAAGGTTACTAAAGAACAACCGCCTCGCAGCCGATGTTGCTGTTTCGGCACTCTAGACCATAATTCTTCGAAGCATACTAGCTCGGTTTCCTCAGCTCCCAAATACTTATAGACCTGTGAGCCTCCAAGAATAGGGATGGAACCCATCTCTTTGACTCGATCTTGCCCCACGTCTTCGGAATTGAGAGAGCGAATTGCACACTTCCGATTATTTAGTTCCAGTCCGAGTTGCCTGGCTACTCGCTTAATCCCTTTGCGGGCTAGTGCCACATTATACCAATCAGTTGTAAACACCTTCAAGTCATCCATGTAGAACACATGTCCGACTTGTAAGGCACCGTCAGAGCGAGGCCCTGAACCGGTTTTTGTTTGGTAAGGTTTGACATGAGCCTGGATCCAGCCAGACAATGGTGCTATGGTTAGACAGAATAGCAACGGGCTTAGAGAGTCTCCTTGCATCAGACCATTTCTGACCTTCAGCCTTCGACTTCTAACTGGCTTCCCGTTCGAATAACCACAGTACCTCACGGACTGTTGCAACTCCACGATGACACTACTCAGCTGATCGAGAAAATGCAACGCAGTGCGGTGCTTGGCACGAATAGATTGATTAAATGCCATCTAGCCAAGCCAATGAGTGATGCGTACAGCGTATAGTCGATTGACCAGAGGGTCACACGCGAAGGGATAGGTGCACCAGGGCTGAAGTGATGGCTTTACCATCAGGGTGGACTTTAAGGTGCGCTCGTGCTGATGTGATGGTAAAGATATCAGGTGCACACTTGTGAGATACCTACACGCTGAGGTGATGGTTGAGTTATCAGAATATATATTACACGCACGTGCTGATGTAATGGTCTAGCTATCAAAGTGTATTTTGGATACACTAGTGCTGATGTGATGGTTGGACTATTGGAGCGTGTTACTAGATATATTCGTGTTAGATGTGATAACCAACTTGTCCGGGGTATACACCTTCGCAAGG